AACTCCTCTCTCTCTCTCTCTCTCTCTCTCTGGTTCAAACCCTTCAAATTGACAAAGCATATCAGTTTCTCTGTCTCTAACGCCGTTTCGAATCCTTTCAGGACAATGTACCGCGGCACTGGGCATGGAGAATGGCGAAATCCCCGATGAAGATATATCGGCCAGTTCTATGTACGATCCCAGTCTTGGCCCGAAACATGCCAGGTAAGTGAACAATGATATCGCGAAATGCTCGGCTGCAGTACAGTAAGTCGGCCATTTTGATTTAGCGCTATAGTTTCTGCCTTTGTAGAATGCGTGCGGCCCCTCGTTGATTGCAATTAATCGATACGAGAGATCTCGAAACACCGAAATTCGAACTTCCTTTGGTGATAAACGAGAAGGTTGTTGGTCTCTTGTTTATCGTATTTGCTTTCGCCTTCATTGTGCAATTGAATCGGTATTATCATCGATATTATTATACAATCGTCATTATCTCTCGATGAATTTCGATAGGTGATGAATTTATTATCAAACGATCCAATCCCATCTTTTGGATATTCTTCCGCGATATTGCGATATTATGCAAATTTAAACTTTTGTTTATCTGCTCTTCTTTAAAAAAAAAAAGAAAAAAGAAAGAAAGAAATGAGAATTATTCCTGTTCGATCGGAGTTGAAGAAGGAACTTTAACTTTTAAAGGTGATTGCAAAATTGTAAAATGATAAAAGAGAGTTTGTAACTTAACTCGTGACCCGACGATTCATTGTATTTATTGATAAATTATCGCGCAAGGAGGTTGCAATAATTCTCGAAGAAACAGGAAGTTTCGAGAGAGATACGAGGGCCGAAGAGAAAGTTGCACAATTATATCGTAGAATCGGCTGTTAATTTCCTACTGCTAAAGAGACATATAGTATCGGTTCGCCAGAAGTTGGCAAACTATGAACGTTCAACTTTGGCCAACGTTCGCAATCGGTTACTTTAATCAACCTTAGTTCAACCAAACTCTTTCGTCTTTCCTTTTTTCCTCGTCGTTATCCATTTAGGTAACGATTCTTTTCCCAAGCTAAATAGCTTGTATCACTTGTATCATACCTATAGCAAGAGAGAGAAACTTTTACATCAAATTTTAATCCACAAACCGGTGTGAATAACGAATATAAAACGAATGTCAAATTAATCTCTGACGAGTGGACGCTTCGAATGTGTCATTCTTACGAAGAATTTCATTTTCGATTTTAAACGGAAAAAATTTAAAATCCGTGAAGTGGATAGCACAACTTAAGAAGAAAAATTCTGGCAATTACTACGTTGATATTCGATTAAATTCACACATTAGATTAAACATTACGTTTGTCAAACGCTGTCCAAGAGCGCAACAGTGCCTCTGTAAACGCAAAGCGATAGAAAGATAAATCTGGAGGGTATTAGCTTCGATCTTGATAATCCGGGCAAGATTTTCAAATGCTAAATGCCTTAATTGCAGTTGAGATTCTTTCCGCATTTTTCGATCGCGTGACGAACGTTTTCAACGAGGCTGGTATTTAGCGAGTCCACTAGCAGCTCGGTTTATTTCTTATTACAACGGCGAGATTAAAATCTGGTGGCTGCCCGAGGGCAGTTAGAAACGTCGTCCCGCGCTGTGCTTGGGACGGCATTAAAATTTTTAATAGTGCACGGCCTGGAGAACGCGCGCAAAAAATGAAAAGAGAGAGAATGATCGTTATCAGAATGAATATCAGATATTTGGGTTTGAAGAATGCGAAAGCACGGCTTGTAAATTGTCTAATATCTTATTAATCGTGGGCGGTGAAGCAAGAAGAAGTAACGGGATGAAATTCTCGAAAAAAAGTTTCCTCGTCTCGTGGATTTTAATACAAGTTTTTTCAACCATTTTCTTTCGTTCCGTGCACGATGTATGCAAAAGGAAAAATTATGAAAATTGAACGCAATGAATTGGAATGAAAAAAAAAAAAAAAGGAAACGAATAATGCATAAGATATCTCGGCTAGGAGGAGTTTAAATACACGCGTGATCACTCGAGGGGTAAAAGAATGAAAGTAGTTTTGCAAAACGCGTTGTATAAAGCGAAATTTTTTTCGTCGAAAAGTTTTATCTTTTTAAATATTATGCAAACAGGTGTTCTCAATTTTGAGCAATTACACGCTTCACAAGCCAGGCAAAATGAATCGCTCCCTCGAAAATTAATCTCGAATTCTCTTTATTTCTTTTTAAATTGCTCGTGAGAGACTTGAAAAACATTTTGAACGTAACAAATTTTCTTAGATATATAAATATGATAACTTTCTAAAAGAAAATATATTGAAACTCGTATTGAAATTTGAATCTTGACCAATCTAATCGCTTTTCCTGTTAATCGCATTGCATGAATCGTGCAATCATCGTTGCTGCATCGCGTTAAGAAGTGGCGTTAAAAAATCTGCGAGGGAAGAGTTGAAAGAGGAGAGGGTATATAAGGAAAAAGGGGTGGGTGAGTCGAATGAAGTGAGTCGAAGAAAAATCGCGAAGCGAGATTAACCTTGATACACTCGGAAGCTGAGTGTCTATCGTTTGTCAAAAAGAGGAATCGTCTTCCTGACATTTTTACCGGCGATATTACGATCTTGATTCGTAGCGGGCGTCGGACGGCTGACAGCCAAATCGATTCGGCACATTTACGAACCGAGGCAATTTATGAGGGTTGGTGCTCGAAACGCACCATGTCTGTTAATAATGCGCCTCGATATCTTCGTTTCGTGACGTTACAATAATATCGATATAGGCGCGACTATTTTTATTCTTCCTTTTTCTTCTCTCTCTCTCTCTCTCTCTTTCTTCGATGGCTGAAAAAATTTCACGCGAATTCTTTTCTTTCTGCGTATTTTCTTTCGAATAGATCCGCGAAAATGCGATATTTTTGTATCAATCATTGATGATTTCGCTACTTTCTTTTTTCTGAAAGTAGAAGAAAAATGAGTAAATAAATTTGAAATAGATGAATAACACTATAATCTCATATAATTTTTAATTGTAATATAATTATTTAAAACAAGGAAAAATAGGGTATATAGTTTCGATTGTTACATTTCAAATAAACGATTAAATCTTATTATATAACATAGACATTAATTGAAATAGTATTTTTCCAAACTTTCCCCTCGATTTCTTCATCCATCGTACAATGAAATATATCTACGGTAATTAATTTACAAGTTACGAAACAAGTATTGTATTCTAAACACCAACAACAAGTATTTCCTCTTCGTTATCGGATTGGAAGGGTTCGATCAGGCGGGGGAGAAAACGACTTACGCGGTGAATTTGTTTGATATTCGCGCACGGAGGAAGCAGCAAGAGTCAGGTGGTTTCCGGCCGAGTTTGCGGACACGAGTCTGATACGATGTAACCGAGGGGGATGGAGCCGAGTAGGTTGGGTTGAAGGGGAATAGGGTGAACTCGACCCCTACAAATTACCTCCAATTTCGTGTAAATTCCTCGTTCCTGCGTCAGCATAATACCTGTATTAGAACCGGCCAGCTCCGGCTCTTAGGCGGCAATAAATCTGTATTAGGGCGAGGCGTTCGCTCCTCCTGGCAAAAGGGGTACAACGCCCCCGGCCCGGCTAATTTTTCACCACCGCCTCGCGAGAGATTGGCCGAATATACGCCGTCCCCGGGACGACGATCAAGTCGAAGCAACGCCTCGATACCCTCCGTCGTCCTCGTTCCGATTTTTCACCCCCTCCGCGACTTCGCCGCTAATTGGACCGCGATCGTCACGCTCTGATTCGCGCTTCTGATCGCAAAAATTTGCTTCGTCGCGGTAATTTTTTTTGTTGTGGAATTTCTGCAATCGAATTTAATTTTAATTTTTTTTTTTTTTTTAGAAGGAGAGGAAGGGATTCGATGAGGGGAGATCTTGATATTTCTTTTTTTTCTTTTTTTGCATTCGAAGGGGACGAAGATTTTTAGATACGATTTCTTTCTCTAAATTGAAGATTTGAGGGAGGATGCGATGTTTTTCTCCTCAAAACGATTTTGCCTGGAAAGGAAAGAAAGGAATGAAAATTCGAATATATATATTTTTTTTTCTATTAAAATTCTATCTTCTGCATTTTCTTTTTATCTAGAAAGAAAAGTAAGAGGTTGGTTCGAAGATTTTGCACTCGAAGGGGATCGGTATTTTTCAATTTTTAAAATTCTCCATCTTTTGCATTTTTTTCGTTCGTCCGGAAGGAAAAGAACAAAGAGGGGGTGTACGAAAAAGATGGAAGATATTTCTGAAGATCGAAGGGGGATGAAAATTTGAAATACGAGACGATATCCTTGTCTAAGAATAAGGGGTTTCGCGACCCTGTTCGCCGCTATCGTGATACACATGTGTTATCTCACCGAGATTGGCGATAAGCTCGAACGTGCCAGGCCAAAGTACGATTATAATTATAGATGGAAGATACATTTTCATTAGGGGGGGTTGGACCGTGTATTAAGACCGTGCTGGGTTTCCAGGGCCGTTGTACGGTCGCGTTGGGGTTAATTTATCAATCCGACTACATCAAACTGATATTTTCGATGGCGAACGAGTTCATCTGATTCGAAATGATAAATTGCCGCCCGTTGTTTTACTTTATAATTTATAAATATTTCCTCTTGGAAATAAGCTTATTACGTTAATGGATAACAGCTATCATCGCGTTATTTTGTTATCCGCCTGTTTTATTATCCTTCCTTCCCGCTTTGCTGCGAAATATACTTGCACGATAATGAATTTCGTATTTTATTCTTTAAAGTCGAGCTCATTGAATTAATAATAAAAGATATATACGCGTTCGTATATGCAATGAAACGGTATCAATCGTGTTAATTGAACAGAAAGGAAGTAATCGATAGCCGAGGAAAATTAGCAATTTGATATTATATTTGGAGGAACTGCTTCCTCGAATTTATTGGACATTCTATACAGATATTTTCGGTATAATTGTTAATGGAAAATTGGAAATACGGATATAAAAATGAAACGCGACGATTTCATCTTTTTTGCAACTTGAGAGAAATATAATTCCATACCACTTGAATTTGTTATATTTACGAATGCTATATGCCTGGAATATTAATAAAGAAAATTATTCGAAATTAATCGATAATCGATACGTGTATTAAAATTTCCTCAAATTTTGTAAAAGAAGAGGAAACGAAAAAAAAAAAAGGAAAAGAAACTTCGCG